TTTTGATGGAGTTATGCCCCTTTTTGCGAAATACTTGTCCGCGCAACTTCTCCTTAATTAACAGGTGGATTTCATTGAAACTTTGCATGAATGATCAGTATCTTATGTAGTTGTGCACCGGCATTTTAATTTGGGATTTCGACCCATTTTGATGGAGTTATGCCCCTTTTTGCGAAATACTTGTCCGCGCAACTTCTCCTTAATTAACAGGTGGATTTCATTGAAACTTTGCATGAATGATCAGTATCTTATGTAGTTGTGCACCGGCATTTTAATTTGGGATTTCGACCCTTTTTGATGGAGTTATGCCCCTTTGTGCGAAATACTTGATACTTGTGGGAGACTATGGATTTCTTTGCAATGCTTTGTCTTAGTAAGCCTTTAACTTACAGTTCTAGTTCTATCATTCTTTACCGTAGTTGCTCTGTGTAGCGTTATAACTTTACATTACAATACATGCATCATTCCATTACACTGCAATGTCGTAATTCCAACACTTATACCGTAGTTACACTGTGTACAGTGACATCATCATATTACAATAAAGACGTCAGCAATCTCGTCATTCTAACACGGTATACCGTAGTTACTCTATATAATAGACACACCATCCCAGCACAATACTCCAACATCATTCAACCATTATATAACTTAGGTACTCTATAGACTAGACACACCATCCCAACACAATAAACCGACATCATTCAATCATTATATACCGTAGTTACTCTATATAATAGACACACCATCCCAACACAATAAACCGACATCATTCAATCATTATATACCGTAGTTACTTTATATAATAGACACACCATCCCAGCACGATACATTGACGTCATTTTATCATTATATACCGTAGTTACTCTATATAATAGACACACCATCCCAGCACAATAAATCGACATCATTCAACCATTATATACCGTAGTTACTCTATATAATAGACACCCCATCCCAGCACAATACACCAACATCATTCAACCATTATATAACTTAGGTACTCTATAGAATAGACACACCATCCCAACACAATACACCTACATCATTCGACCATTATATACCGTAGTTACTATATATAAAAGACAAACCATTCCAGCACAATACACCAACATCATTCAACCATTATATAACTTAGGTACTCTATAGAATAGACACACCATCCCAACACAATACACCTACATCATTCGACCATTATATACCGTAGTTACTATGTATAATAGACACACCATCCCAGCACAATACATCGACATCATTCGACAATTATATACCGTAGTTACTCTATATAATAAACACACCATTCCAGCTCAATACACCGAAGTGATTTTATCATTATATACCGTATTTACCCTGTGTAGTAGACACACGATCCCAGCACAATACAGCGACATCTTTCGACCATTATAAACCGTAGTTACTCTATATAATAAACATACCATTCCAGCTCAATACACCGAAGTGATTTTATCATTATATACCGTATTTACTTTGGATAATAGACACACCATCCCAGCACACTACACCAACATCATTCGACCATTATATCCCGTATTTACTCTGGATAATAGACACACCATCCCAACACCCCACACCTACATCATCCGGCCATTAAATACCGTAGTTACTCTGTACAATAGACACACCATCCCAGCACACTACACCAACATCATTCGACCATTATATCCCGTATTTACTCTGGATAATAGACTCACCATCCCAGCACAACACACTGACATCAGTCGACCATTATATACCGTATTTAGTCTGGATAATAGACGCACCATCCCAGCACAACACACTGACATCAGTCGACCATTATATACCGTAGATACTCTGTATAATATACACACCATCCCAGCACAACACACTGACATCAGTCGACCATTATATACCGTATTTACCCTGTGTAGTAGACACACGATCCCAGCACAATACAGCGACATCTTTCGACCATTATTAACCGTAGTGACTCTATATAATAAACATACCATTCCAGCTCAATACACCGAAGTGATTTTATCATTATATACCGTAGTTACCCTGTGTACTAGACACACCATCCCAGCACACTACACCAACATCATTCGACCATTATATACCGTAGTTACTATGTAAAATAGACACACCATTCCAGCTCAATACACCAACATCATTCGACCATTATATGCCGTATTTACTCTGGATAATAGACTCACCATCCCAGCACAACACACTGACATCAGTCGACCATTATATACCGTATTTACTTTGGATAATAGACACACCATCCCAACACAATACACCTACATCATCCGGCCATTAAATACCGTAGTTACTATGTATAATGGCACACCATCCCAGCACAATGCACCGACATCATTCGACCATTATATACCGTAGTTACTATGTGTAAACTCAAACCATCCCGGAACAATCAACCATCATTATTCGAAAACTTCAACAGTGCTTTGATTCCATAACTCTACCGCAGTTACTCTGTGGTGTAGAGCGACATTATCACATTACAATACGCCGACTTACCGTAGTTAGTATATGATGTGCATACCCAGACATCAAATCACCATAAATATACCGTAGTTACTCTGTGTAATAAGACACCATCCATGTACAATATTTCACATCATTTGCACTACAATTTTCCGTATTTTCTGTAAATACTGTCCCTTTACCGTGACCTTCATTATTCAAATTAACCAGAGGTAGTCATCATTCTGCCGCTCTTTACCGTAATTACCCTGTGGGAGCAGAGCGCACTACTTTAGCACAATACACTGGTAATATTTCACCACACTACATTATCATCGTTGAAGCATTAGTTACCGTAGCTACTCTAGCGACGTCCATGTTCAATGCGTTACAACGTCAGATTCATCATTCCGAAAATCTTAACCGTAATTTTTCTTTTCATTCCGGAAGTCTTTACCGTAAATACTCTTTATAGTACAGACACAATCCCGATATGCTACACAAA